AAAAAACGTTATTAAACATATCACGAACTTACCTATTATCACGAATTTACCTATTGTTTGTAATTTCAGCTTTAACATGGAAGACAAAAAAAGAAAATATCGCAGTTATGAAATATCTGATTTAATAGAAGCTGGTAGGTTAGTAAGGGAAACAAACATGACAATCTATAGAGCAAGCAAAGAGACTGGGATACCATGAAGTACGCTGAAAGATTTTTTGTCAAAAAACCAAGACAACCAGCAACAAGTTGCAAAACTTGGAAGGCCATATGCACTGACGCCAGAAATTGAAACGAAACTATTCAATTATATTGTCAAGATGCAGGAACTAGGTTTTGGTCTAACAGTTGAAATGGTAAGAAAAACAGCTTTCGAATTGGCAAAAGAATCTGGTAGAGAAAATTTTCTCAAGAAAGGTAACAATTCTGCAAGTAAATGGCGTTCCAGAAAATCTCGCAACTTATCGCGCCTCTATGGGTAATCCAGAGATAATACTTCGTAAAACTAGAAGCACTCATGGAGAAGCTAAACATAAAGAACATGCCGAGTAGAATATGAAATTGCGACGAAACGGGTCTATCTTATGTCGTTAAGCCCAGTAAGGTTGTTACGTCTATTGGAAAACGATACATTTACAAGAGAACATATGCTGCTAGGGGTGAGTCACATACACTTATTGGTTGTATCTGTGCTGACGGGACATTGATTCCTCCCCTAATTATTTTTAAAGGAATTCGCTGTAATGATAATTTAAAATCAGACTGTCTTCCTAGTACACTAGTTAAACTATCTCCTAAGGGTTGGATCAACACTGATTTATTTCTGGAGTGGTTCCAATTCTTTATTAAATCAATTCCTACAGCTCGTCCTGTTATCTTTCTGATGGATTCTCATGCCTCTCATATAAATGCCACAGTAATTTCTCTAGCTAAAGAGAATGACATTTATTTATTCACTTTTCCAACGCACACATCTCATTTGCTTCAACCCCTAGATGTGGGCGTGTATACATCTCTTAAGGCCAATTAATCTAAGAGTTTAAACGATTTTATGAGAGAAAATCCTTCAGAAAAACCCAACAGGCAAAATTTTCACTCTCTGTTAAATCCAGCATTTATCACAAGTTTTTGTCGTTCCAATATCACAAATGCTTTTCGAAAAACTGGAGCGTGTTCATTTGACAAAGACGCTATTCCCAGAGAGGCTGTTGCTCCGTCTCTACTTACCAATAAAGCAGCTCCTCAAGGACCAGTTGTTGCAGATGAAACTGAGCCAGCCACAGCAACTGATCAGAAGCAGTTATTGTCTCTACCAGTGGCACCCAGTGCATCCGATGTTCCTGCCGAAGCAAACCAAAGGAAACGGGATTCGAAAGCTAAACGTCTCAATGATTTTGATGATGTTTCCTCACTAAACGAACCTTCTACGCCAGGTACTAATAGCTCTAAAGTCAAGGTAAAATCTGCAATGAACGTCAAGACTTAGAAGTCGTCTACATCCAAAGCCAAGACTATTTCTGAAAAGAAAGTTCCCCAACAGCAAAATGACAATGAGGATGACTGGAGGTGTGGTGTTTGTGAAGGAAGTTACTTGGAAGATTGTAAGAAGAAAAATGGAGCACGGTGGATACAGCGTTCCTACTGTTTAGTACCATATCACCTTAAATGTCAAGCATCCGAGGAAGATACTGTTTTTATGTGCGATAGTTGCGCTGGTACTATCAGCGATGACTCAGATTAAAATTTTACGCATAAAGCGATAAATAACTTGTAACCGATAATAAAACCGTATCTTACAATTTTTAGCACTAACTGTTGCCTCACGAATATACCTACCCCATATCACGAAATAAGATATCCTATCGCGAAATTACCTTTCCTGTTATTTTAAAACTTTTTTTTTAGCGAGTTTCTAAGTGTTTTAATAAAAAAATACCAAAATCTAAAGCCAAACTGTAAGGTCTTAGCTCCCTCACAATTATAGCAAAAACGTATGCAATTTTCATTACTTTCAAACGACAAAACTGCAATCATCACGAACATACCTTACTTCACCCTATGTGTTATTTTATTTGTCGAGTAACTTAATTCAAAGATAACTTGTATTTAAATTTAATAAACAATTGAAAAACACCTAATTTGTCTTAAATTCTAATTAATTTCTCATTGACTAATGAACAATTGAGAAATCAGCTGTATGCAAGTTATCTTCACATTTTTGACAAATTGTTATTTATCCTTTTTTTTTTTAAATAAAAACAATATAATAAATATGCGTCGAAAAGCAGTAAATATCTACCATTTAAAGTATGTAGAGAAATAAAGAACAATCTGATTCGAACAAGACCATTAACATGAGCCGTACCAGCTATAAAATAAATATAAAAGACTCGACGAGTTATTTGTGACATAATTCTTGAAAGTTCAACGTGATTCCAACGAAAGTGAACGTATTGCGGCGTTTTATATCACTTACTTATGCTAATGGGACGGTTTCGAACACAATTAAGATGATTCTGTGGGCAACATCTCAACATCTATTGCAGAACGAGACCGCAGGTTGTCTAATAATAAAAAAAGAACATAATTTTGGCCTCTCTATGATCTACGTTTTGCATTTGTAACACGACCTATTTTAACTAGTACGGTTCGCCTTGAAAATCTAATATATTTTACTCTGTATTACTCGATTTTGAGGTTTCGTCACTTTTAATGTTGTGTTACTACCAAATTGTAAAGAAGTGCACGGGTGTCGATCGATGTAAATACTAATTTAAATCTATCGGTATTTAAATGAAAATTCAAGCATGTTCTGTGACTATAATAGACCATTTTCACGAGGCTAATTGCGAAGACATTCCACTAATAGGCCAGTCATTAAAGATAATCAATTCACATTAATTATCTACAAAAGTTTTTAAACTTCGTTGAAATATTTATTAAATTAAATAATAAATTTAATTTTAAAACTTTTTTGAGGTTCGGAACATACCGGTAATTACAAAAAATATATAATATGTGTCCCATAAGTGCGTAATTGTTCAATATTTCAATTATTTGTGTTATAGACACGCAAACAAGTATTAAATAAAAGTTATATGGATTTAAAAAATGCATATCTTAAAAATATTTTTGCCAGACAAATAAAAATATATATTTTCTGTATTTCCTGTATTTTATTTCAGTTTTAGAGTGGTTTCGTAATAATATATTCAACTCTAGAATTTTATTAAATTAATTTAGAGAATGATGCAGACCCCAAATTAAATTATCATAATTTACGTAGATTTATATTGATTTCAAAATTGTTTAAAACTAAGACTTATAAGGTGCTAAGCTAACGAATAGTGGCGATAAAACTGATTTATTTTATACGGAGTGTTTTCAGACATGTCTTAACTAATGCCAATTTTAAGTTCAATTTACTCAATTTTTTCAAATGCAACACCCTGTATATTATTTTATCATAAAATTCATTATAAATTTGCCGATTCAACGATACCAACGTGTTAGCCAATAACACATGTACATGGTGTCCCATCAGTGCGTAATTGATCGATAGCGGTTTTATTTGTATTACCATATTTAACAATTGAATCGGTGATTGTTGAAATGGTACTAAGTCCTAAAAAAAGTTTTGAGTAAATCAGAAAAATTTGTTTAGAACGGACTTAACTAATCCACTTAAGCCTATAGCCAGTAGTATGATAGTAAATTGGCTAAGAATAGGTTATCCTATAGGAATTTTGCTTATTTTAATTTTTGTATGCTTCTCTTATTTTTAAAAAGAAGGATTTAGTTCTTTTCAACAATCAGTAAAAATAAATTAAGTAGATATGTCTAAAGCGAATATACTTCATTAAGAATAAATAAGAGTTAAGACACACAAAATAAACTCGGTACACAATTCTAAAAAAGAAACCAACAGAGAAACATGTAGCAATTTATTAATCTTCAACCTCTTGTTCTGCGGTTGGCCACTGTAAAATCTCCTCGTAAAATGCTTGAGTTTCATCATCTTCAGCGTTGACATATTTCACAACTTGTAACTACTTTTCCAGGATGTTCCGAGGAATATGAGAATTTATAAAAACTGTGATGACGTGAAAGATAGTTTATATTCTTTAGGTATCTTTTTGCCTTTACTATCATGTGACAGAACTGTTTCTTTGTATAAACCATCTTAACCGTTTTTCTTACTGTTAGCTATTATGCTACAGTAATCTTTAGGCAAAAATAGTCTGTACACTTTTTAAATTATTCTTTTAAAAACTCCAAAGTCATCGTAGGGGAAAAACGAATGTCCCCAAACAGGAAAACAGTGAACGATTTTCTGAAATTTTCCGGTATCTACTAGTGCAAGACACATTCTTATCATTGTATGGTTCAGGTTTTGCCCGGGGCATCCATCGCTGTATAAAAATAGATCAGATACTTCAGAAGGAAAATTATGAATTATGTAGTCATAAATAAATGAGCACACTTCGTTTGCGCCTTTTTGGCAACACCCTCATGATACATGTAAATCTGTGAATTGTCTTTTAGATTATGAATACAAAACGTTTTCACCCATAATTGCCTTAAATAAAATATTTCCCCAACTGGAGTATGTTGAAGCGGTAAATTCTGCATGAAGTCGAATGCAAGTCCTAGAATTTTTGGATATGCTTTCGATTCGTCTGTGGTATTCTTGAGGGCAGTAAAAAAATTCTTACTTCTCCTTTTGTGAGTAATTTCGCTTGTGCGGCAAGTTTTACATTTTCTGATAAATGTGGAGATTTTATTTTCACAGAGACCTCTTCACATGTACAGCAGACATCAATTTGTGGACGACCAAATCGCAGTGCAAAATTTTCGTTAAATTTTTAAATAGAAATCGTATTTAACTTTTGTGGTAGGGAATTTATCTTTGAATAAGCCAAACATTATTTTAACATCAAGCCTAGCATCTTAGTATTGAATGCAACGACCAGAATAATGCGTCTTTTTTGTAGGGAAAGACTAAATGTGGTCATAAATCTGATGACGTACTAATTTTGGAATGCAATGTATCTTTGGATTTTTGCCTCTTTCATTTTTAGGCGTTTCTGCTTTAACAAGCAACTGGGTTATTCGTAGAATACGTTTTTCAGATATACGATGAAGCTGAGCAAATGCTTTTCGGCATACTTTGATGCGACTATTGTTTTTCATTACAAAATATTCAAAACAAGCTTGTCGTAATTTAGATTCTTGCTGATTTTCTTTAACACGTGGCCTCCTTCGTTTAATAGGTTTAAATTCGATCAACCGTTGCAAATTTAAGTCTTGTTTATTTTTGCTGCTTAAGCTGTGAAACACATATAGCATGGATTGTCGCTCTGCCAAGATTACTTTTTCCAAACAAAGTTTTATTTTGTAACTATAAACAATAACAAACTTATCTATAGATATTATTATTCTAACCTAAAAAAGATACCACTTACCAATTAGATGTTTGACAAATAGTTTTTACAGGATCTAATTTTTCACCGTAATTTGTGTATTCAGTTCCTTCTATATTGGATTTCTTAATAACGTTTCTTTTGTAGGTTCTAGGATGTTTCAATTTTCTTTTGTTACTCATTGTCACTGCAACTGCTTCACTCGCCATTTTAAAGTAACTGACGATAGGATACAAGGCTTGCGCACAACAGTGCATCAGAATAGTAACACATGAGTGAGAGCTGAATGGATCTAAGTCCGCGACTTAGTTCCATTCAACCCTCGCAGCAATTTAAGTACACATATTAACAGTACGTCTGTTTTGGAGACTTGGTTTATTTCAACACCAAACGGTCGGGGACATGATTTTGAATAGAAACCCATTGAAAATATAATTTCGGTGAAAAAGGGACTTAGTACCATTTCAACAATCAGCGATTCAATTATTCTTAAATGTGGCGCTGAACAAACCTATACTTTTTAAAAGCAAAACACCTTGCAGGTATTTATAATACATATTTGATTGTTTTCACATCGTCAAACAATTTTAATAGACTTCAAATGGTAAATTTTACGAACAGTGAATTAGTTTTTATGTATTTTACTTATGGTTTTGCAGACGGAAATGCACACAAAACCAGGGATTTACCAAGAGCGCTATCCAAATCGCGTACTACCTGATCCGAGAACATTTTATAGAATTTATAAAATCTTCACGAGACCGGAACTTTAAAAGTAGACCGCAGGGCTCAAGTAGTCAAACAGTAAGAACACCAGAAATTGAACAAGAAATTTTACATGAAATTGAGGAGAACCCCGAAACTAGCACGAGGAAAATCGCGGCAACATTAAATGTTTCACATGTACTTGTTTGGAAAATGCTTATCGAAAATGTGTTATACCTATCACATCGGAGAGTTTTTGCTTTTTCCATGTAGAGTCAGGTAACGGTTCCTTCAGCAGTCATTTCTTCATGGTAATCTTTCGTAGAATTTGAAACAAATTCTAATAGGCCTCTATCAACAAATCCTTTATCTTCTTCAATATGAGTGATAAACGGTGACCTTTATCATTTGGAAATTTTAAGCCAGTAGACAAATCTTCTATAAATGCCTGACGAGCAGATGTAACCTGTTTATCTTGCCAAACTTTTTTTACACAAGATGTCCTTCATTTGTCCATATTTCATCCAAATAAAAAATATTTTTGTCTTCTCTTCTTGATTTTCGATTTTCCTTTAAAGATTGTCTTCTCCAACAAATAATTTTATGTAAAGTTTTCCACAATTTGTCTCTTTTAACGTTTAGCAAAGTTTCGTCTCCATTAATGTCTACTAAAAGTTTATCCAAAGTAGGTATTTTTTTTTGTAAATAAAACGTATGCACTTTTCTTCAGAATAATTGTTTCATAGTACCGTCTATTTGAATGGGTTTCCTCCCATTTGACGTTTTAGGTGCTACTGTAATACTTCCATTCTTTCGTTGCTTCAAAAGTCTATAAATGGTTGCTTCTCCAACTCCGTTCATTGAACACTTAGAAAGTATACTCCGAACAGTAAAATGTTCATGTACAAGAGCGTCATGTACATTTAACACTAAAGTTTTCATATGCACGGTTAAATTGGCACTTTAATTTCACAGTAGTATAATTAGACGTTTGTGCCATTTTTATTGCACAAATTTACACACTACTTTATTTTTGTTGATTAAAATGACTAGAAAATTTGAGACAAGAATTTAAATAAATTGGTATTTTTAAAAATTTTAGGAACAAATAATGCTAAACTTTTTATTTTAGAAATTCTTCATCACTGATTTATGATGTTATATTGGGGTTTATATCATGGGTCATAAGATTTTTGCTATCATTTATTTTCAAATAAATATAGTTAGTTTACACTGTATTAGGCACCGAAATATAAATTAGTCACATTTGAAAAAGAAGTTGTAATTCGAAACAATTGTCACGAAGAATTTTTAATTTTATTTTTTTTTTAAATTACAATATTTCTGAGAATCTACCATGTCTAGTTTTTTCATAGAAATAGTAAGTTTTTCCCATTTAAACAATATGGATTTTCAATATGGATTTTCATCAAGTAAAAGCCGAAACAATCAAGAATTTGAAATATATTTACACATACACCCATATGCAAACAATCTTCTACCATATTTTTCAAATTATATATTTTTAATACGTTATATACATCCGGCAACATTCAATTTCGAACAAGCAGTACATCTAGGAACTGTTTTAGGTACCGCTTGAACCGTCGATCAAGACGTTATTTTTTGCGCATCCTTTTTATTTTTCGTAATTCCTAATATGGAAAACATTTTAAAAACTTTGTTTACAATTTTTATCCCAATTATTGTCGATTGAAACTTTTTACTAAACAAATTTGACAAAAAAAGTGAAATTTTGTGGTAATCGTGTCCAAATTATTGTACGTATTGCAATTCTCTGAAATATACGAAATATCTTATGATGCTAGGGTTTCCAGAAGTCTAAAAAAGGCCGGATATATCCGGAATTTTGGCTTATTGTCCGGAATGCGCCGGGAATTATAAATTGTCCGGAATTTTCAAGAAAATCATCAAAGTATTAAAGTATACTTAAAATTCGGCATAAACAGTTCTTTTGGCCATAATTGTTTTTGATAGTATGTACTTTTTTAAAAAAATAAAAAATCGTTTAGTTATTATTTTATAAATTATATTTTTATTATTTTGTTCAGATTTTTAACGAATGTCTGGAATTTTTATTAGGTATGTCTGGAAATATGGCAACCCTATATAAACCCAGACAGCATACTAAATCCTTTGGATATCTACTGGATATCCCAATATCCACTGAATGGATAAATAATATTGGCAATGAACGCGAGCGCAGGCGCGGATATTTTCTGACCTCACAGGTACCATCGGTCATTTTATAGTTTGTTTTCGTTTTGTTTGGGTCGTGTGCATGGGTTTCAGTCGATAATTTTGGATTAAAAGGAGATAAGTAAGCTTTAAAACCTAAATTTATTAGTATAAAAGGTTGATAGACTTTAGTTAAATGAGACAATGGTTAAATTCACGTTATTAAGATTGTTAAGTAGGTTGTATGCAATGTACGTTAAAATCCGTGTCCTTTTTAAGTAATTCATAACTAGACATTCATGTCGTTTTTACGACTCCCTATTTTATTATAATTTAGATGGATGTTATTTTACCTACCTTAGTATAGCTATTTATTTCGTGTGATTATTATTGTTGGTGATTCGGTTTGGTTTTTACTGTTTAATGGTTGTTATAATTAATTAGAAAGAGGTATTTTTTTCACTTGTATTCAATAGCATGGCATGAAAAATTAAACAAGTAAGGTTAGGTTATGTTTAGCTGGACTAACAGTTTAGATAAATAAATATGGTATAAGTGACACTCTGCACAAAAGGCTTTTTTCAGACTTCATTTTCGTTTTGGATGTAGTTTGATTTAAAATATAGTTTCACTTTTTGAGGAATTCTACAACAGAGCGTCTTTTTTTTTTCAGGAAGATAATTCCAGTTGAAATTGCAACGCAAATATATAATGTAGGTGTATGTGTGATTAGGTTTAGGTTTTCCTTGGCTGCAGGTACTATGTTCATTCGTCAGCTTAAATGTAATATGTTATTTAATATAATAGTATGTTTATACTACAGTTTACCTTTTTTAAATATATTTGGCCTCCTCATAATATTTGTCTTTGTTTTACCTAACTATACTTAATATAACAACAATAAAGAATAAGATTTATTTGTAAGATGCTTATATGTTAGATAACTCGTGCGTTGTATTAAGTTTAAAACTTACTTCAAATATTCAATGACATTTTGGTGGTTTTTTAGGTACGGTGTACAATATTTAATTATTGTAAAAATAAAATGTTGATATTCTTTCTACTGTACATGCTATACCTATGCTGTGTAGCATCAAAAATAGTTAACACTAGAATAGTAAATCTTGTATGGGTGAATATACCAAATTAAAAATACAGAGCGTTCCGATGTTATGCTACTGAAATGCTGATTTTCTTCATATGGAATGTTTTTAGATTATGCACAGTACATTGTTTCACTTATCTTTCAAAAAAAAATTTAATGAAGCATTAAATACGACATCCTCTAGGCATATAGGATATATCCATTGGTTACTTATGACCCTCTACTAAAGATACCTATTAGATATTTTGCTGGATATCCACAGAATATCTTCTATATCCTGGATATAGACGGACAGTTGGATATCCACTGAATCCTGTGGATATATTGGATATCCACAAAAAAATTCTGTATCTCTGGGTTTTCGTGTATTGTCTGGGAGATGTCCATTAGATATTTTGCTGGATATACATAGAATATCTTCTATATCCTGGATATAGACGGACATTTGGATATGAATATTACATCCACGGGATATCTATGATATCCTGTGGATATATTGGATATCCACAAAAGATATTTTGTATATATCTCTGGGATTTGGTGTGTTGTCTGGGAAACGGCCCTCACAATCACAATTTAATATACAGCAGCCCTTGGGCCACTTGAAGTTGTACATCTCTGACATAGAGTATACAAATACGAAAATTGTTGAGTCCAAATTTTTTATTTCTCACCCTGTATACCGTTAATCAGTAATTAAACATTACCTATAGGTTCAAGCGTGAATTATCGCTACTAATTCTAGAGTAATAATTAAATTTTTACGTTTAGTTACCGCAATGCTTTACATAACCTCATTGAGTCGAAGTGGAAAGGAAAAAAAAATTAGATTCGTATATAAAGGAAAGGAAAAGCCGTACACCGTAGAGAAGCGGAATCGAGGTCGAACATTACTTGCAAATATTTAAAAAATGTCCCCCTGTACCTACACCGCAATACCTAACCTATCAAGTAAAGACTGATCGAATATCGATTAGTTACAAGGCAAATTAAGAGCGTTTTAAACCGACTTCAAAAAAGGAGGAGGTTATCAATTCGTCGCGATATTTTTTACCATTCAAAATGAAATAATTATTAAACGATCGATAATCTCGCTGTAATTTTCATTTTTAAAATTAAAACTTAGTTGGGGATTAAAATTGGTTAGGGATCACCCCACTGACTATAATCATTAGTTTAATATGTTTAGCTTAAATACGCGTAAAACCCCGCTTTTATGAATGTGATGGAAAAGTAACTTGCAGCGACAAAAAGTT